ACGTTTTCTTACCCATTGAAGAACAAAAAAACCCTAATAAATGATGGTTCGATAACTTTACGCTGCCTTCCGCTTGTATTCCTTTCAAACGTGAACGCTTTAGATCTTCCTTCGGCTCTCGCTTCAGATCGGGTATGAGAGTTCGAGTTCATGATCAAATACACGTACCGTCACACCAACAAACACCCTTAGTGGATCTATATATGTAGTAGGATAGCTCGACGGAGAGATTTACCTTCAGACGTTTTCAATATGTGAATTCGTATTTAGGGGTCAAGTTCCAAATTCCCAACCTAATTCACACTCTGCATGAAATATCGAAAGCACGGCCTCAAATTGTAATTAGCACCAAGGTGTATGGAATTATTATCTCCTTCCGAGGGCCATACTTGAAGACTGAATCACTTGAAAAGCTGTGCTCCCTTCATTAACCTTTTTTGCCTAGTCTCTCAATCATTCAAACACTTCCAACCTAATTTATCCACATTTGTCTTCAATCGTCAGAATTTGTTGTCACTTCGTTTAGAACTGAAGCCTAAAGACTCTAGCCACTGATCAACCCGTTTGAGGGATGCGCCCCGCACTCTACTTCCAATCGTAATCGTAGTGGCGGCTTGATTACGTATTAGGCCTATACAGTGACTGGTGGTGGACAGCCGATGTACAACTCAGTGCTTTTATCCTCCCAGATGAGTCTGTTACCAACTAACGACCCTGGAGGGATGGAAGGCTTGGTTGGCCTAGGCGATATTGATCCGGGATTTGAACCCGTGGGTGCGCGTGGGATATCATATATGTAGGATAGTGCGCCACCTGCCATAACACCACCTCCGCCAACAGTTACATATGTTAGGACGATTGTCGAGTCTATGATTTTTTGGATCGAAAAAGTTTCCTCAGGCGTTTCATACAAGTTCTTTTTCCTGCAGACCGATTCATTTGGCCAAGTAGCTCTAAGGTGCTGTCGAGTAAAAACTCTGAACTCTGACATTCTCCAACACCGACTTTTCTTTGTTCAGAGGACCACACTTCAAGTCTCAGATCGCGATCAAAGTCAAAGGAGCCAAGCGGGCAGTACTCCCTCATATGAAAGGCTGTTCAGGGCGTGGATTCCATCATGTAAAGAGTTTTTCGAATGTTCTTCTCCACGTAATATCTCAGAAGCTTAGCAGACCTCCAGGGTACAAGCGCCCCAACTGAGGGCGTTTCTGGGAGCGACCACTGATACTTTGAAATGTATCTGACTGCTTCCCACGGCTTTTTATCTTGAAATTAACAAATTCTCTCAAATGAGTTGTGAAGAACGATCGTTTCTGTCTGTCATAGCATTGGGTAGTGCTAATGGTAGGGCTCAACCAGGCCATCAAATTCCTGAGACGAGTAGTTTCAAGAATACGAACATACGTCCCTATTTGGGAATCTTGATCGGCAGTGGGTGTCGAGCCCTATTAGTACTTATCTAGGAAGTTATATACCGAGCAATGCTCCATAAGGCCTTCCCACCAAACATTAATTCCTACCATTTGAGAATCTTCAAACTTTTCTTCACAAACTGGGCCTTTAACATGCGCTGATGTCACCGTAACTTGCAAACCTAACAGAAGAAGTTTATTGAGAAGAATAAGTGGTCTAGTGACATATATGAGTTCATTAATCACGTTGCGGTTGGTGAAGCTTGAGTTCTCATAAG